TCTAGCTTGAAGTATATTTAAAAAAAGGGTTCCACACTAGAGGGTGGTTTTTGACCTTGGACTTTGGAAAACCCCGGAACGGTAAGAGATAGCGAGCTAAAAAATTTCATAACCACACTTTGATATGGCGAATATTTGCTGAAAGTTTGATCAAAATCGGATGTAAGACAAAATGATTTTTTCTGAGGGGGGGGCACTTAACGATGTAATTCCTTTTACTTTTAGAAAGACAACAGTCAGATCGAAAATTCCATAGTGTTGCGCTATTCTTTTTTCTAATAGAATTTCTTTGCACGTTTGAGCCTATCCTGCCATCAAACACTGTAGATCATTTCTGAATCGAACGGTGAATGAGACCATTTCTGTTGTATTAATCTGAACATGACGTACTTATCATTTAGAGCGAAATCAAACTGTGGGACAAATGACACTCGATTGTCACGGTCGTGCTTGTCCAAAATGTAATAAGTGTTGTGATTGGAAGAATAGTGTGAAGCGTGGTGATGCCACTTGCTATCGTTATGGTGTTGGCCCTGGTCATATGGGTTACTGTGAGTGTGTTGGTAATTGTCATTGTGGTTATAATGGTTATAATTATCATCCTTATAGCGATATGTGTTGTTGTGTCGAGAACAAATGAGACACTCTTGAAAGATTTACTCTGATCCTTTATTTAATTAAACATTAACGCATTGTACTTGCGATCAGTAACAAGACTTTTTTGTAAACGCGATTAATCTTTGATTTTCATGAAGAATAACAGACATAGGGCACAAAGTCGGATTTATCAGGCTGTCCGGAAAGTTCGTGTAACTACTCTTCTACTGCAAGCGTGAAACATATGATTTCCACCATTGTGTAGAGCGTCCATTTTCAGGATGATACACCACTTTTCACCTAATTGCTTCATTGCCTCCTTGGAGAAAGAAAGGAGTTTTCACTAGCAGATCTTCCTTTTTTGTTCGGACTTTACCAGACTTCAAATTTTCACAAGACGTCGAAAGATTTCATGAGACTTCAGAATGTTTTATGAGACTTCAGAAGACTTCATAGAACATCGAGAGACTTAATCAGACTTTAAGGATGAAGTCTCTGCTGTTTTCCTCAAGGTCTTTTTTAATAATCTGTTTCATTATATTAGTTTGATAAATAAGAGTTATAAAAGCTGAGAAAGTTATTTATTGATGATTTCGCCGTTGAAAACTTCTTATTGATTCTTGAAATTGTTTTTTATACATTTCCGTTGGCAAAAAAAATACTACAAAGATTAAAATTGATGGAATAAGTGAAATAAAATAGCTTAATATATATAGCCAAGGATTATGAGATGCTTTAACACAGCTAGATAATAATGAAATAGTTAAACGAGGTAATGAAAGAATAACGACACAAATGGGACTAATTATTAGATGTTGTGTTCTTTAAATTGTTCATAAAGATGTTCGCTATAAGACTGTCGTCTTCGAATTGTTGCTCGTTGACGGAATAAATTTGCTAAAAATGGACCAAGAAAATGAAAAAATAGAATAAATGTATTATAAGCTTGAATAAAATAAGAATAGTGAGCAATACACCAAATACATTCTCCTTCACTACCATCAAATAAATTACGATAGAAAAGGTCATGGACAATCATTCCCATTATCAATAATGATAAAAGGATAATTATACATTTAGCATTATGTTTGCTTTTTAATGCACAGTATCTTACTGAACACTCATCAATGAAAAATAATATTTCAGAGAACAGTGCCCTAGTGAAACTTCTTGTACCCAAGACCTTGGGTTAAGAAATGTCACAAGATCTTGGAAAAAACACCAAGAAGTTTCAAGATCTTGGATTCTTGAACATTGCACTCAAGATCTTGGCCAAGATCTTGGGTTAAGAAATTTCAAGATCTCGAGTGGAGTAAGCCAAGACCCGTAAACGTTTCGTGACCTGAACACACTGTGAGTCCAAAAGTTACATCAACATATCCGATCAAAATATAGCCATGAGTTTGAATACAGGTCACGAAACGTTTACGGGTCAAATTCTGCTCACAAGTTGCGGTTTTGGGACTCGCAGTCACTGATCATGATCTTCACCTGACGTCCATAAACATCGTGTGCTTTTCAGAAAACTAAAATTCGAGCTCTAAAGCTGGATAATTGAGTTTTCCTGTTTGTGAATATGTTGATTTTAATTTCTACTAGGAGAGTTTTAAATTCCAATGAATTTTAATTTCTCCTGCAACATATACATAAATTTATCTTCTATTCTTCTCTTTTTCTTTTGGAGACCGCATACAACCGTTTCCAAAAGAAGATAACTTTATGTATATATATATCGTAGTTTCTTCTTTCGTAAGTAGCTGAAGAAATAAAATCGAAAGTTCCCACATTATTTCAGCATAATACCAATTGTTGAAGTCATGCAACTTCGATAAATAGAAAGATTAAATTTCTTTTGTTTGTGTTTTGGTTGTTATTCGTAAAAAGGTCATCTTTCTGTAATTTTCTCTGCATATAAAATAATAAAAGCTAACTAAAGATGAAGAATACCCTTACAGCAGGTTAAAAGCGGGAAGATAATATCTATTGCACTTATCATTTCAAACTGGGCAACACAATGTACTGCGTAGTTACTGTTTATTCACTTGTTTTGTTCCTATGAACTTTTCCAAGATCTTAGGTATAAGTTTGGTAACAAGATCCTGAAAACATCTTGGCTTACTCCACTCGAGATCTTGAAATTTCTTAACCCAAGATCTTGAGTGCAATGTTCAAGAATCCAAGATCTTGACTTCTTGGTGTTTTTTCCAAGATCTTGGGTACAAGAAGTTTCACTAGGGCACTGTTCTCTGAAATATTATTTTTCATTGATGAGTGTTCAGTAAGATACTGTGAAGTTCGCCGTCGTACACTTTGGCAGTGGACTTTCGGCAATTGCCGAAACTTGAAAAATTGCTGGCGACTCACACTCAAATATCTCACCCACACAACTTTCAGCAATTGCCTAAAGTCCACTGCCAAAGTGTACGACGGCGAATTTCGCGTTGCCCGTTCAGTACAGCGACAAACAAATATATGCTCTCTCTATCGACATGTCTTTTTGGACTACACTTAAGTTCAATTCATTTCTCACATACAACAATAACGTGAAACATA